CCGTCTCCTCTGGCGTCCTCTCTTCTTGACGTTACTGACCCTGAGTGCGACCTTGCTCATGCTGCTAGTCCTATTGTCATTCGTCTCCTCGCCACTATTGTCACTGACCCTTCCTTTCAGTCTACTGCTACGTTTTCCCTAGCCACTGAGCTAGTCGACTTTGCTACTACCCGTCGTCTCAACTACGTCGAGAGTCTTATTACTGAGTCCGAGTCTGTCTGTCCTCCATACGTCAGGGGTGAGCTTGCCCTTAGCAGTGACGTCCTTGAGGACAGGCAGTTTGAGTTTGAGTGTCTCACGGCCACTTTACCTCGTTTCACGTCCATGCTGCTTTGCCCCGAGGGAGACTCGGATGCACTTGACATCCCTACCTCGCGCTCTTACGCAGAGGCGATCACGTGTGAGTACTCCTTTCAGTGACAGGCAGCCATGGACGCAGAGATGGCTTCCTGGAAGTCCACATGCACCTACGTCAACGAGGTTCCTCCTCCTTGGGCGAATTTTGTCGATGGCATGTGGATGTTCAGAGTAAAGCGACTACCGGTTTCTCCGCCTGTTATGTGATGCTATCATTTGCATTCACGTCTGTCTGCCTCCCAACATATGTTCGTGCGTTGCATGCGTGGTGTGAGCGTGTGCAAGAATTTGTGTTTTCTGTGGTTTGGACTTTCTGAGTGTGTGTGAGTGTTATTTGGCCTGAGCAGATATCTCAAGTGACTCCTCTGCTCAAGAGCTTTTTGACGAACCAAGAATCGTCGCGATCGGAGCAAGAACGAGGAAGTTGTGATCGTTCAAAGATTTGTTTGTGTTGCGACGACTTTGGGAAGTTGTGAAGTGACTCAATATGGGGTACATACTTTTGGGGGTTGGGAAATTCGTCCCCATCACTGTAGATGCTGCCAAGTGGTTGGAAGAAACTAAATTGGGTTGGCAAGTGTGGCCAACTTGGGTGAGGTGGATTGTGGGGGTTGGGATAGTGACAAAAGTGAAAGTGGGGTTGCCTATGGAGAGGGGAATTGTATTGCATGGGGTTTCCTTGGTTGGGGACTCTCTTGGGACCTTCCCTCTCGTCCTCCTCATCCCCTCCCACCTGGTTTATTGCTACTCTAACTCTCTTGTGTAGTCATTCTGAAATTGTGAGACTCTTGTGGTTGAGTTAAGTTTTCTATGACAGCTTACCCCCTAGTGTGCCGAAATCCATAACTCAAGATTTACTTCACCTTTTCGTATGATTCAAATTGGGAATTGTAGCCACGGACTAGAGCTACAACATATCTGAAATTGTGAAGTTTCAACGGTGTGTTTTTCGTCGACGACGTTTCTTGTGAACTCGACGATTTTGTTCAGATTTCTAAGCCAACGATTTTGTGATATTTCGGCACCTAATCTTCGTAGTCCTCGTCCTTAGTCTCTAACAAGTGGTATCATAGCAGATTAAGGACTTTGTGGAGAGTCTATTGAAGTGTGAAGACCCTCCTAGACCCACCATGGCCTGTGGGCGTGCCTAAGTGGAGTTCTCGAGGTTGGATGTGACTTCCGCTAAGGGGAAACTCTGCCGAAATTTCGTTGGCGCCGACACTTGTGAAAATATTGTGGGACTTCAGTATGGACAGCAAGGGGGGAGCTAAAACCTGTGATTGGGAGCAGAGGAGATGAGTCAAGGGAGTGGAGAAGCAGCTGAGAAGAGGAGTGAGCCGCCACCATCCAAGATTGAGGCATTGGATGGCTCCAACTACGAGGAATGGAGCGGACAGATGAGGAGCGTCTTCAAGCGCTACAAGCTGCTGAAACTTGCGATGGGAGAAGAGAAGATGCCCGAGGAAGGAGATGCTCGGGATCGGTGGATTGAGCGGAGCGCGGTGTTGTTCGACCTCATCTTGCAATCGGTCAACAACGACATGTTCCAGCACATCAAGGACTTGGTTGAGTTGGACGACTCCGGTCCAAAGGCATGGAAGCTACTGCGCGACGTGATTCAGCCCAACACACTGCCCATGGTGATCGTGCTCGAGAAGGAGCTGGCGGCCATCTCCATGCGATCGGGAGATGATGTGAAGCCGGTCCTTGACAAGATCAAGGACACATATGCGAGGATGGCAGCGGCGGGCAGCGAGGTGTCGCAGATGTAGCAATGCACCAAGATCATCTCGGTGCTTGACAACTCGTGGGACAACCTCATCCCCACCCTCAACGTTCAGCAGGACAAGTGGACGCCTGAGTGGCTACGGCAGCAGATCCTACAGGAGGACTTCCGCAGGCGCCACACTGGAGGTGGTGCTGCCAACAAAACTGCTGAGGGGTATGGAGCTGCAGGAGGCAGCAGAGGAAGAGGGGGTGGGAGAGGCCGAGGCCGTGGGAGAGGCTTTGGCAGAAGGAGAGGCCGAGGTGACTACAACGAGGGGCATGGGAGCTCTGGAGGTAGGGGGAGCACCCGAATGGAAGGAGCTTGCTGGTACTGCAAGAAGGTTGGACACCCGTGGTTCAAGTGTTTTAGCCGGCCTGAGGGATGGGCGCCTCCAGGCATGAAGCCGCCAAGTGGTGAACGTGCACGAGGTGGCGTTGTGCAAGGTTCAGGTGCACAAGATGATGGTGCACAAGGTAAAGCCGACCCTGGGATGTTCCTCATGGTTGAGGATGTGCAAGGGAGTGGGGGTGATGTGGGTTCAGTTGGGAAGGTTGTGATGCACCCCCTCACTCACTGGGTAATCGATTCAGGTTGCACAAGTCACATGACCCCATGGGCAGATTTGCTTGACGAGGTAAAGCCTCCTGGGAAGATAAATTTTGTGGCTGCCGCTTCAGGTGCTTTGCTCCCTGTGATTGGTGTTGGGAATGCCAAGGTCATGGGAGCCAATGGGGGGCTTGTGGGGCTAGGAAACGTGCTGTTGGATGAAGGTTTATCCGCTAACCTCCTCTCTGTGCGCCGGCTGCAGAAAAGCAAGGCCAAAGTTACATTCGGCCCAACCAGCTGCCGTGCAAAGCTTGGGAAGTTGCTGCTGTGGGACTTGGAGGAGAAGAGCAGCTGCATCAAGGACCTCTGGCAGCTGCCCATCATTCCTTGGAATGGGAAACCACCAGCAACGGCAGCGGCAGCGGCAACGGCTAAAACAACTGCTGGGGGAGAGGAGACTGCACCAACTAATGGGGCCCTGGATGCAGTCAAGAAGGTGCAGCAGCCATTTGAAGTTCGATTTGGTTGTGGTGACGATGGGAAGTTGTGAGGTTGACTCCATATGGGGTACAGACTTTTGGGGTTGGGAAATTCGTCCCCATCACTGTAGATGCTGCCAAATGGTTGGGAGAAACCAAATTGGATTGGCAAGTGTGGCCAACTAGGGTGAGGTGGATTGTGGAGGTTGGGAAAGTGACAAAAGTAAAAGTGGGGTTGCTATAGAGAGGGGAATTGTGTGGCATGGGGTTTCCTTGGTTGTGGACTCTCTTGGGACCTTCCCTCTCGTCCTCCTCATCCCCTCCTACCTGGTTCCTAGCTACTCCAACTTTCTTTTGTGAACTTGTGAGAATAATTGTGATTGAGTTAAGTTTTCTATGGCAGCTTACCCCCTAGTGCGCCGAAATTCATAACTCAAGAAATACTTTACCTTATTGTACGTTTCAAATTGGGAATTGTAGCCACGTACTAGGGCTACAACATACCTGCGTTTGGTAAAGTTTTATTTGTGCGTTTTTTGTCGACGGCGTTTCTTGTGAACTCGACTTTTCGGTCCAGAAACTAGGCCCAACGATTTTGAGATATTTAGGCCCCTAATCTTCGTAGACCTCGTCCTTAGCCTCTAACAACATCGTCGTCGCTGTCATGGCCGGTGAGGATGGTGTCTTGCGAAGGGTTTGGGGGTGGTAACTTGGCATCCAAGAGTGGTACGCTGTTCTATTGTAGTTGTGGGCTTCACGAGTCGTATCGTCGGGATCGAATTGATGAATAGGTATGAAGGTTGGAGTTTGACGGGGGCTTGTAATGGGGATGTCGGGATATGGATCCGTTGGTGTGTTGTCAGTTTCTTCTGCATCCTCTGCCAGGTCTGCCTCAACCTGTGACGTGGCGAAAATGTGATGCCCCTCGAAAACCCTTTCCGGTGCCTTGTCAGCTTCTCGGTGTTCCTTGAACAGTGGCAGAGTCAGATTCTCGTAGAAGATGCAGTCACGTGATCCCGAGGTGAATGCCCTAGCATGCCCGGTCAGTAAATTTTCCGGTCGTTGCTGTGTTTAGCCTGTACTATACCATGCAGCCGAACACTCGAAGAAGATGTGTGTCCGTTTTTCTGCCCGTCCAAGCATTGTTAGGAGGACAGCAAGTTGTGCAGCCGAACAGTGTGATTCATCGCAAAAGGCCAATATCTGGTTGGGATGGCCGACTGCTGCATCAGATCCTTCATCCTTGTGGCGAGGCTCCTCTTTGTCCGTTGTGCTACTCGTTGTTTGTGAGCACAGGGCAGGGACAGCAGGTGCTCGATCCATTCTCAGGCACGCACACTCGCCAAGCGCCACTCACCACGGCACTGCTTCATCTTGGCGTCGTAGGCCTTGGACCCAGGGCACACACACTGGTTCTTGCCGTCCCTCGCAATGCACCTTGCCTCTGACCCACAGTCATCACTGCAGCCTGTGGTAGAAGCATGGGTAGGCAGGGAGAAAAATGACATGGCGAGGCTCAAAACGATACAGCTCAATCCTTGGCACTTGGTACGAGGCAGGATAGAGTGCGTGCAAGTGAGCAGGAGAGTGTGTTTGCACGCTGGACAGGCGTGTGGCAGCTAACAGGTGAGTGCGGGGGCAGTCGTGCAATCTCACCCGTCTCGCATCTCACTGACGCTGGAATCCGGTCGGCAGGGAGCGTCCTGAGAGCAGCAGCAGCGGGGGCACGGGGGCGGCAGGGGAGCACAGGGAGCGATGAGAGTGAGACACGTGGAAGAAGGAGAGGGGCGCGCATCCGTGCCAACCGAACCAAACCGAAGGAGGTTTCTACCGGTGCGGCACGTGCGAGCTCACCACTGACTGGAGGCAAAGTCCAAAACAGCCCAATCCGGCGGGGGACGCAGGATCGTCTCGTAGGGGCTTGCCCCGCAGCCCGGCGCGGAGTGGAAGGAGATGCTGCTGCACCTGCGCTCAGCACCAAGCATGCCCTGCCAGTCGATCTGCGCGTTGACGTTGCTTCCATCCGCGAACACGCTCCGATCCACGTCTTCGCATACACAATTTCTGATCAACAAGTACTGATCTTCGAATGACACCATCGAATCGCATACAGCGTCAACGCTGGCGGCGGTGAGGAGCGCGAGTGCGACGACGGCAGCGAGGGCCGTGGCGAGGCCGGCTTGAAGGGCGGAACGCGGGCCGCGCGCCATGGCGACGAGAGGCGGGGCGATTGGCGAGGGGAAGGTGAGGCTGCGCGCTGCGGCAGCGTGGTGAGCGCGTGATGCGGCGGCCCGCACCCGCGCCGACGGCTCTGCACTGCGGCTTGCCGCTGCTGCGGTGGCGGATCCAAGCAAGAGCGAGGCGATGAGAACCGAGATGGAGTGAAGCGACGCACGGCGCAGCGATGAGTGAAAGGAGACTGAAAAGGAGGGAAACTCGAGTGGAATGGCGAGATATGGTGAAGGGAGGGAAGTGGGGGTTTATGTAGCGAGAAAGCGGCCATTCCCGCCGCATTAGCCGGGGAGGGGACGAAAACGGGATGAAAAGGTATCGTGAACGAGGCCCGGAGTGCACCCATCACGCATTGCTGCATCGCTATTGGACAACTACGGAGTCGAGTCGTGCGATTCTACTTATTTGTTCAAGCTATTTGACTCCCACAACGCGATCATGAGGATGATCGTGGTCGCGGTGCAGGGCCCAGGAAATTAGGGTGTTTTTCCTTGAGACTTATTTTGCTGTACGTTTTTGTGACCGCGCTGCTAAAACGGGCTTCCACGATTGTACCACCAGGTCATTGGGTGGCACGAGCATCCAAATCACCCTGCGATTGCAAATACGAGCTGCTTGCGGCACTGCCTTCCGTGACCACCAGTTTTCCCCCCTCCTGTATTTTCCCTCTCAAATGTCATCCGTTCGGTTCAGTCGCGAATGCGACTGATTTCTCAGGAAACCTGTCCAAAATCACGAAGGACCTATCCGCGAAGAAGTGCATACTCAGATTTGGCTAGTGTGATTAGAAGGGCCAACCAGCGGCACGAGTTGTTGTGAAGTATGGGTATCTTCTAGCCTACGTTAAAGCCGACCGTCTGTCCATGTCCCTGCATTATATCTTCCAGTTGCCTTGCGACCCCTGCTGAACCGTTCCTTCTTCGTTCCTTCACAAGGGGAAACGAAGCACCCTGCCACTCTCGGGTGTGCTGCGCCTGCCACACTGCAGCGGCAGGGTGAAAGGTGGGTCACAACTTGTATCTGGCTGGGTGTTCCAAAACACATTAAAAAATCCTACTGTTTGACCCGCCGCAACGTGGTGCAGAACCCAAGAACGCGGTGCAGAACCCAAGAACGCGGTGCAGAACCCAAGAACGCGGTGCAGAACCCAAGAACGCGGTGCAGAACCCAAGAACGCGGTGCAGAACCCAAGAACGCGGTGCATTGCAATTGATTGGTGCACGCCAGTGCGCAACACCAAGCCGACCCAACCCCAGCCCTTGAAACATGACGAAACTACCACACTACGGTATTGTCCCACAATTGCTGAAGCACTTAAAACTTGGTGTGAAATATTCTGTAAATGTAAGGAAATTTACACGCACCTCAATTCACCTCTTACACTGTTGGACTCCCAAAAGTGCAGCAAACCTCTCCACTACCATTCCATCCCATCCAAGCCAACTCGGCAATCAACTCATGACAGGCAAAACAGAAAGCTGCAAGAAACCCGAACCAGGCCCTCAGATTCACTTTGAGGCACGTAAGGGTATCAGGGTCCCTCTGGCCCTAGACCCTGATCGACAGGGTCGCCTAGGAAAAAAGCCTGAAAGTTCAGTGTTACTTAAAAAAAAAGTCTGATGCATCAGTGTCACCTATAGAAAAAGGCTGATAGTAGTGAAGCTGATTTTTTAACCTCTATGAAGGTCGCAAACAGCCTTCAATCTATCTATCTATCTGTGTTGTAAACCAAAGCCTATCTTGCTTGCTAGCTAGCTATGCATTGCATCCAGCATGACTCTGGGTCTGGGTGAGTTCAGTAATCATCATCTGATGAGGCCTGCTTGTCATCATCATCTTCTCTTCCCTTAGCCTGTCGTTCTGCCCACTCTTCCTCCTCTAGGGCCTCCTTTCCCGTGCTATCCCTGCCCTCTCCCTCTCTTTCGGGTGGTGCCGCCACATTGCCGAATGGGCGGCGCTTCTTGTAGCTGCGCCAGATCTGCACCACCTCATCGTAGTTGGGCTCGTACTCGAGTAGAGACATGGTGACGAGGTCTTCGAGGCGGGCGTCCTTCAAGCTCCCCCGCTGCCACGATTTGATAACGTTTTGGCGTGAGAAGCCGCGCTCACACTCCACTGTGCTCAGCGGCAGCACGGCGACAGCCACCCAGAGACGCACCAGATTGGGGTAGCCAGTCGCCCAGTCGCTTGTCTTCAGCATTGCTGTTAGGCCTGCGTGGAAGCTCCGCTCGTTCTTCGGGGCACCTGCGAGGATGGGGCAGAAGGCCCGCAGCTCCTTGATCGCACGCCGCTTGTCGACCCCTGCCACATAATGCGGAAGGGAGAGAGAGAGGGGGTTTTTGAAAGGCTGGCAAGTGCGTACACCATACGTTGATGAAATGCAATGACACAATAAGACGGACAGCAACAGTGCGAGAGCGGGAATACCTGGAATGATGTAGTCCGTGTCCTGTGCCCTGAACAGCCTCACGAGAGACTCGAGCCACTCGAGACACTGCCTGTGGCGCTCTGCTCTCCCCAGCTCCCACTCGTCAGGCATGAACAGCCGCACTCCCACCAGGGAGTCCAGGTCCTGGAACCGTGTGCTGAGGTTTTGCACGAGCGTCTCGGCGAAGGTGGTGCAGAGATCGACGCAGGCGTCGTGGGAGCCGAGGGTCGGGTAGTCTTCGCTCGGCTTCTCGTGCAGCTCGAAGGTGTGTGTCGTGGGCCGCCCGTCCGAGTCGACTCCCTGCACCTTCACCTCGGGATTGCCCCCCTCAGGCCCGTGCTTCTTGATGAACGGGGAGAGGCGCGCGCTCACCCCGCCTCCAAAGTCGTCACCACAGTCGACGTAGCGGGACTCTAGGAATGAAATCGACCGGCGGATCTGCCCGTGGACACTTGCAATGTCCAGCTGTTAGGGGTCAACAGGGCGAACAGAGGATGGAGAGAAGGCCAAATCAGTGCAAAGCAGATTCTGCTTAAGCAGTACATCAAACAGTGACTCACAAACCGAAACAAGGCACACAATCCAGCAACGATAGTAACCAAGCTCACCTCACGCTGCTGGAATGCCCTGTTCAGCACATTGAGCTGCTCGAGGACGTCTGCAAGGAAGTATAGCAGAAAGTGAAACCTGTAGCTCGTGGCGAGCTCGTAGAGGGTGATGTCCCACTCATACAGCATCACGATCAGCGCGGGGAAGACCTCTACCGCGCGCAGAATGGCGTCACCGCGGGAGAGCCAGCGGACGTCGTGGATCCCTTGTAGCTCCAGGTTTGTTTTCGTGAACACCTCCTGCAGGCCAATGAAGCGTTGATGCCACGGGCCAGAACGCCCCAAATGCTCTGCCACTTGGCGGAGCAGGGAGTCCACCATGCCGAACTCGGGGAGTTGTTCAGCGGCGTCCTTTGCTGCGAGGGCCTCCCTGCATGCACACCAGCATTAAAACCGGCTCAAGGAGGGGTTAGCAGGGGATGCAGCAGGGACTGTATGGAAGCAGTAAACAGAAGATGAAAACTGACCTGTGGGCGATGCAGTGGCTCGAAACAAGATGCGGGATGCGGAGGCGAAGTCGAGCGACAAGGCCGTTGTGTTTCCCCATCATCACACTCGCTCCGTCAGTGCTTATGCCGGATATCCTCGCCATTTCAATGCCTAGGGCCTGCAGGTGGGACAAGAGCACTGAGAGGAGAGAGGCTGCATCGCCCTTCTCCACGGTCAGCAGGGCAAGGAACTCAGTCACGGGACGATTTTCACGGATGAATGTCGCGAAAACAATCATATGCTTTCCCCGACACCTGTCCGTGCTTTCGTCGCACGTGACGCCAATGTATGGGCTGCTGAGGATGTGCTGCAGTTGCGTTGTGTGCAACCATGTGGCCATCGACTGTGTCAGCTGCCCGAAGCCGTAGCTGCAGCGCATGTCAAACAACACAACGTCAGATAATTCGGTTGAGTTTCACAAACACGGTTGCAGTTAGATTAATTCAACACTCACGTAGTATAATAGGTTCCGTAGCCTTTTGCTGGGAACCCGGGCACCTTGAGTCGCGCGAGGTAGCGCACAAGATTCACCCATAACTCTATGGGTGCATCTTGCTTGGTCACGAAGAGCAGGGAGTCGAGGAGCTTGACGACCCGCTCCTTCTCCGTGTCGCGAGCGAGATTGTCGCCGTTGATCCGTGGCTGCGTAGCGACGTCGTCGAGAAGCTTCTGCTGGTGTTTCAACGCCTCCTTGTGCTTGGTAGTTGCCGCATGCCGTTTGAACGCCTGCGTCTGAACGTCTGTGGCGCCCTTTCCGCCTCTCCCACACGGTCCAGCGTAGCCTGCGTGCTCCGTACAGATGCTGCACTTGAAAGCGGGGAAACCGTCAGCTTTTTTTAGCAGAATAAGCCAAGAAAACCGCTCGAGCCACTCGCTTTTGTACTTATACAGAGCCTCCGCGTAGGTTGCGTCTGGCCCTGCCGGTTTAGAAGGCCCAGGTGTTGAGGGCGACGCCTGCGTGCCTGCGGTCGCGGGCGTCGACAGTTGGTCGGCTGGCGAAGCCGGTGTTGCACCAGCGGGACCTCCCTTCTTGGGCCACGGCAGCGTTGACTGCGTGTACCTGGCGGACTTCTTAGCCACTGGCACCGCCGCGATTTCTTCACCTGAAGGGTTGGAGCTGTCTTGCTCCAACACGGGCGCAGTAGGGGAGGGACACAGAGGCTCGTCGATGGGTTCAAATGGAACATCGACGGTCGGCGCGACTGCAGGCGCCTTTCCATGGTTATCTACTGCCGCTAAGTTGGAGAATAGCAGATCCAGCCCGGTAACGGCCGCGGACAGATCAATTGGCGAACGATGAGCGGGTTCATCGCCGGGGTCATCAGGTCGTTCAATGGCGTCCGGGTGGTCCGCCATTGATTGCGCTGTGAACAAGCAGCATCTAACGGGACTCCCTAGCTAGCTGAACGATGGAGGTTTGCCAGGAAGAGAGGACACACGGCTGACTGCCTCTTGGTACACCAGGCAGCAACGCGATGAAACCTTACACATGCTAGATGGAAGGAAAGCATGGAGCAGACTGGGGTGGGAGACTGGATGGCTGGCAGCACGGCTGGGCGGCGTGGATGCATCCGTGCTTGCCAGCACGACTTAGACAAAACGGGCCAGAGGACCACAGATGCTTCACATGGGCCTGAATCCCTCGTTGCGCTGCCTGCCAGCATCGCTGTGCTGCAACCCTGTAATTGGCCAAATCAGGAAATGCTATCAAAGTGGCCAATCATCGCACCACGCGCGCCAACAACGCATCCCTCTACGAGGCAAATTTGTCTGCTACTCACCGCCACGCCCTGCTGACACCGCGGGAATCTGATATTCCCTGTACAGCCGGGCAACTACACACGAACCGTGTAGGAATCGCTTTCAGGGTCGGATTCGTTACAACGTAGTGGAATCAGTGTCACTAAAATTTTTTTGCTGAAAGTTCAGAGTCATGTGCTAGGTGAAGGCTGAAAAATCAGCCCCACAAAAAGCTGAACACTGGAAAATCAGTGTAGGTTAAAAAAAAACCCTGGAAATCAGGAATTTCAGGGGAAAATTCCTGATATCGTAGGGCCTGACCCGAACCCACAGACTGGCGCCAGTAAGTGATGTCTCAGCCGCGTGGAAACGGAAACCGTGGGCCACGTGGATACAGTGTGGAAGCATTGGGAGCATGTCCTCCTAAAGGGCCACCCCTGTGTCCTCCTGCCCCACCAGGCGGCCCAAGCAAAGGCCCTACCCCTTGTGGGCCCATCCTCTGCCCTGCCATCCCTGCCCCGCCCATGCCACCCATGCCTGCAACACTGCCCATGCTCCCCATCCCCATCCCTTGGCCCATCCCCATGCCTGGACCTACCCCTGCAATGCCTTGACCTGCCCCCAAGCCCATCCCCCCTCCAGCCACCCCACCGGGCTGTGCAGCAGGGGAAGGCGAGGAGTACCAGCCAAGGCCCGATGCGAGGGGGCGCAGTGTGAGCGACGGCACTGCCAGGTTGCCGCTGCTGCTACCGCTCAGGGGTTGCGCGGATGCACCCACGTACTGGCCTGCCCACTGGTGGGCAGGCGTGTGGGGACTGGGCGCACGCACATGAGGGGGCGTGCGCGCGTTGAGGCGGTGTTGGGGGAATGGAGAGGAGGTGGAGGGCGGATGGGCAGAGCGGAGGAGGTGTGATGGGCGCGCTGGCATGGGCTGGTGCATGGGGGAGGGGTTGAACCTCCCAGGAGGAGGGCCGAGGCGAGGGGAAGGGCCGATGGGAGGCGATGGACGGAGGGGAGGAGAGAAGAGCACGGAGGGTCGCATTTGAGGTGTGAAGGGAGAGGGAGGGCCAGGGCAGGGGTGCACGAGTGGGGGAGATGTGTGGTGCGGGATGCGGTGGGGAGGAGGGCCGGCACGGCCCGGGGGGGAGCTGAGGAGGGCGCGGTGGGTAGGGCGGGGGAAGGGCGGCCCCAACGCAGCAGAGCCCATGCCCATGCCCCTGCCCATGGCCATGGGGGGCATGGGGCGCATGGGTGGGCCCTGGGGGAAAGGCCGGTGGAACTGCTGCTGCTGCTGCTGCCGCTGGTGTTGGTGGTGAGGGAGGAGGGGAGCAGAGGTGAAGGGACGGTTGCCAGTGGCGGTGATGGCGGTGGCCTGCAGCAGGCGCTGTGCCTCAAAGCGGTCGCGGTCCACTATGCGGTGCGCCTGGGGGCGAGGAAGCGCGGCGTACAGCACCTCGTCAAACACGTCCCGCCCCCGCGACTCCGCTGCTGTCAGCGGCAACACAAAGTTGGCTGACCGGGTGCATGGGGCACAGCAATGAGGTAGGGGGAAATGGGAGGTGCGGTGGGGAAAGTGATTGATCAGCTGCTGGTTGTGGTGACAACTGCTGGACGAATCTGCATTGGAGTGGACGACTCAAAAAGTCATGTGCTCTGCTGTAGGGACGGCCTAAGAGGAGGAGCTAAGAGGAGGCCTTAACGCACCTTTCATCTCCTGCACTGTGAGAAGAGGCACCTCCTTGCCTGTCTCCTTGGTGCGGCGGTCACTGCGACGCCTCCACTCCGTGTATGTCAGCACCACCACCACCGCCACCTGGGCGAGGGATGTGCATGACACACACACATGCACACATGCACACATGCACACACATGCACACATGCACACATGCACACACATGCACACATGCACACATGCACACATGCACACACATGCACACATGCACACATGCACACACACATGCACACATGCACACATGCACACACACATGCACACATGCACACATGCACACACACATGCACACATGCACACATGCACACACACATGCACACATGCACACATGCACACACACATGCACACATGCACACATGCACACACACATGCACACATGCACACATGCACACACACATGCACACATGCACACATGCACACACACATGCACTCACGCACACACACATGCCAACACACATGTACACACACATGCACACATTCACAAACACACACACACACACACACACACACACACACACACACACACGTGCACACATACCCACACGCATCCACACACACATGCACACACACACGCACACACACACGCACACATGCACACGCGCACATGCCAACACAAATGCACACAACCGCACACATGCCCACACAAATGCACACATGCGTGAGAGCATGAACTACATGGGAGCAATTGCAGCAATGGAAGCAGCAGCAGAACATACAAAAAAGGGGCACGACTCGATGCCATCAAGATTCAGATTCACTCCATGACATCTCGCCTCGCCTCCCTTACCATACCAGCTTTCCGCTTTCCCTTCTCTTCCCCCCCTCCTTCCCTTCTTGTCTTTCCCTCTCTCCCGCAACAACCCCACAACCGCATCCCCCTCCCCGTCCCATTTCTCTCCGCCCATTCCTCTCCCCCCATCCTCCCCTCCCCCAACAGCACCGCACCTTCTTAAAGTGGTGGAAGGGGCGCAGCTTGCGGCGGCGGGCGTGGGCGTACACGTTGGTCTGGTCCAGGATGTAGTTGCGCGGCACGGCAGCAGCGCGCTCCACCAGCGTGCCAAACACCTGCGATGCCATCGGCATCAGCTGCGCCCACCGCTGCCCATACCCCTCCTCGCTCCGCTCGCCCTGCTTGCCTTGCCCGCCTGGCCCCTGTGGTGGCGAGCGGAAGAGGGTGTGTGTGTGATGAGGGGAGGGGCGGGCGGAGAGAGTGAGAGTGGGGTATTAGTGTTAGGGAGGAAGGGAGGAAGCGAGTAGACGCTTATGAGGATTTTGAAGGCGATTCAGGTAGAGGACAAGGGTGCAATAGGAGGCAAGGGCGCAATAGGGCGCGGAGAAGAAGGGGAGGGATTGGGGAGGAGGGGGGTTGATATGCATGGGCCTATGTGGATGGTGCAAGTGCCATGGAGCATTCGAGACAGCTGCAGAAACGATGTGGAGGGACACAGCCGAGAGGTGGGAGGGGTGTGGGAGGGGGGTGGGAGGGGGGTGGGAGGGGGGTGGGAGGGGGGTGGGAGGGGGGTGGGAGGGGGGTGGGAGGGGGTGTGGGAGGGGGGTAGGAGGGGGGTGGGAGGGGGGTGGGAGGGGGGTGGGAGGGGGGTGGGAGAGGGGTGGGAGGGGGCATGATGTGAATCAACAAGAATTTTCTGATCACGCAAAGTCACTTCCCCAACCCCCCCCTTTCACCATCTCCCCACGCAGCACCACCATCATCCCTTTCATCCCCCCTTTCTCCCTCCCTCCCCCTTGCCCCACGTGCCCCCCCATGCGCACCTGCATGAGCGCCAGCACGCGGTCAGTGCCCAGCACCACATAGCGCTTTTCCGGATGTGCCCTCGCCCTCTCCTCCGCACACGTGGACTTGCCACTACCCGGCAGCCCCACCATCATCACCACCTCGCACTCCTCCCTCTTGCCCAACGCCGGCCCCGCCACACGCACCACCACGCCCCCTCCTCCCGCCTCTGTTGCTTCTCCAGCTCCACTCCCCTCCCCCCCTGCCTCTGCCCCTGCCTCTGCCCCTGCCCCTGCCCCTACCCCCTCGGTGGCCTCTGCAGCCTCAGCCCGATCTCCCCCGTCCCCATGCCCTGCCTCCTGCTTCGCTGCGGCCTCCCCACTGCTCTGTGCGTTGGCAGCAAGGGGCGTGCTTGCAGGGACGGTGGTAGGGGGGGCAGCCCCAGCCTCGGAAGGGGCGGCGCAGGGGGCGGAGAGGAGGGGCGCGTCGGACCAGGGCAGGTAACCCGGGGGGGGTGAGAGGCCGTCCGCGAGTGAGAACTGTAGACGCACTGCAGAGAAGGAGGGACGGGTTAAGGTTAGGGCAGGGCCGTAGGGGAGGGATGGGGGCGGCCAGCGATGAGGCGCGATGAGTAGCGGGCATGCGAGGGGGCAAGGCAAGCGAGGGGGCGAGGCAAGCGAGGGGAGCGAGGAGGACATGACTGACGGCCAGGAGCGAGGGAGCGCGGGAGGGTGCAAGGGAGGGAAAGAGGGAGGGAGGGAGGGAGGGAGGGAGGGAGGGAGGGAGGGAGGGAGGGAGGGAGGGAGGGAGGGAGGGAGGGAGGGAGGGAGGGAGGGAGGGAGGGAAGTGGAGGGTGGGAGGGAGGGAGGGAAGTGGAGGGTGGGAGGGAGGGAGGGAAGTGGAGGGTGGGAGGGAGGGAGGGAAGTGGAGGGTGGGAGGGAGGGAGGGAAGTGGAGGGTGGGAGGGAGGGAGGGGAGTGGAGGGTGGGAGGGAGGGAGGGGAGTGGAGGGTGGGAGGGAGGGAGGGAAGTGGAGGGAGGGAGGGAAGTGGAGGGAGGGAGGGAAGTGGAGGGTGGGCGCGGGGCAAGGCATCCCGCATTACCTTTGACATTCTTCACGAGCACGTGGGGGAAGAGCGCTGCTTTCAACCACGCATTCCCGTCCTCCACGCCACCACCACTCACGGTGCCTTCCCCTGTGGCATCACCGGCACTCCCCGTGCCCCCCACCCCTCGCCCCTGCTCGCCACCATCTACCTCCATCTCTGTGCTCCTGCCCTTGTCATTTTCGCCCGCATCCCCTCCCTCTCTCGTCCCCTCCTTGCCCTCCTCCCCTGCCACCTTACCCATCTCCCCTCCACCTTTTTTCTCCTCGCCTCCACCTTCGCCCTCCGCCTTTCCTTCACTACCCTTCTCTCCTCCCGCCTCCCCCACCTCTTTGCCTTGCTCTGTTCCCTCAATGCCCTGCTCACCGCCTTCCTTGCCCTTCTCACCTTCCCCTTTGCCCTGCTCCCCTACCTCCCCGCTCTTTTCCATTGTTCCATCCGTTCCGTTCCTTTCTTCAACTTCACCGCCCTCCGCTCCCTTCACCTCTCCCCCTTGCCCCCCACCCCCTCCTGCCGCCCCTTCCCCATCGCCCTCCACCGCTTCAACCTTCTCTGCCACACCAACCTCCCCTTCTTTACCCTCCTCCGCCTTCCTTTTTTCCTCCCCGCCCACCACCCCACCCCCTTCCCCCGCAGCAGCCCCCACTCCTTCCCCCTCATCCCGCGCCTCAACACTCCCCACCTCCCCTCCTCCCGCAACCCCGCCCCCCTCGTCCCCTTCCCCCCCTCCTCCCCCCTCCGCCAGCTCCGCAGCGCCCCCCAGAGGCGGGAGGCGGAAGGCCTCGCCGAGCCAGGCGCCGTTGAGCGCGAAGGCGAGGGCGCGCGCAGGGAGGTCCACGGCACACAGCACCACGTCCCCGCGCGCCCAGGGGCGCGCGTACGGGGCGACCGCGCCCCCCGTGATTTTCTGAACGGCGTGTGAGGTCAGGACGAAATTGATGGAGAGGGGGGGAGAGCGGGCACGTTAAGGAAGCGGAAAACGAGGGGGGCGGGGAGAGAGGGGAATGAGGGGAGGCAAAATTGACAGAGGCAGGGAGCACGAGGGCGAGAAGAATGAACGATGGCTGGACGCTGCAAGGCGGCTTCATGGGTTCACCGCTCCCCACTCCTAAACCCCTCTCCCATTTCCCCATCTCCGGTCTTCCCTCTCCTCTCTCCCCTCTCCCCTCTCCCCTCTCCCCTCTCCCCTCTCCCCTCTTCCCTACCCTCGCTCACCCTCCCCAAGGGCTCATCACCTTGCCCTACCGCTCTTCATCGTACCCCACCTGCCTCCCCGCTCGCCACTCCCCGCGCCACTCCCCTCGCCGCTCCCTTACGCGCCCACACCCCCCTTCTCCTGCACCTCTGTCCCTCCCCCGTCTCCCCTCCGCACCCCACCTACCTTCCCACTGCTGCCATATGCAAAGCTGTCACGTGTCTCCCCCAGCGACCCCACGTCAGCATCCAACGTGGACACGCCTATCCGACACAAATATCTCTCGTCCTCCGGGATTCCCACAACCGTCTCCCCGCCTGTGCCCGCTTGCGCCCTATCCCCCGCCGCTGCTGCCCCTCCCGGTGCTGCGGCGCCCGCCGCCCCTCCCCGCAGCACCCGCGCGTCCAGCGCCTGCTCCTCCTCCACCACGCACGCGAAACAATACCGCCCGCCGCTGCCGCCGCCTCCGTCGTGCGCACTCGCCGTTCCCGTCGCGGCAGGCCCCGCTCCTTCCGCCGCTGCTTCCAACCCCACATGTGCTATCACTGCCCCCTCCCCTTGCCCTGTCGCCCCCCCCTGAGCCGTGCTCGCAGAGGCGTCCGCTGCCCCCGAGGCTGCTGCGGGGGTGGCGGCAGACGGGGTGCGAAGCGCGATGCCGTAGTTGGCGCGCGCGCCCGACCACATGTACGCGAAGCCGCCGTGCGATAAGCCCGCGCCCAGCAGACCGCGATCCGATATGGTGAAATCTGATTGACGGGAGAAACGACGGTGCGCGGGAGAGAGACGCAAGAGAGAGGGCAGGAAAAGGGAGAGGTGAGAGCGGGTGGCAGGGGTTGACGAAGGCGGCACCAGCAGTGGGCTTATCACGCACCGAGGGTGCAGTCTGCAGGGTTTAGCGCCACAGCCGTTGGATCATCCGGCATGGCGGGCTCCTTCTTGGAAGAGGAATCGCAACCGTTCGCTGGCTGAGACGCATCGGCCAGGATCGAAGGGTCGGGTCTCGCCTTCTTAGCCTTGTGAACCTCGCCGTCGCCGTCATCGCCAGTGTCGCCGGCGTCGCCGGCGCCGTCGCCAGCTGCTAGATCCACGTCGCATGCGTCGCCAAGGCCGTCGTCGCCATCTCCGATGTCCACGTCGCACGCGTCGCCGAGACCGTCTTCGCCATCTCCAAGATCTTCGTCGCATGCGTCGCCAAGACCGTCGTCGCCCTCTCCAAGATCCTCGTCGCATGCGTCGCCGCCCCCTACCTCGAGGAGGCCTTCGACCGCGTCGCACTCCGCATCGCCAGGCTCGGCGTCTGCGTCCATCCCAGCCGTCTCCTCCTCCAGATCCAACAGTGAACCGTCATCCGCCGTAGCTTCCTCTTTCTCCGCCACGGGTTGTGCGCCGCCATCGCTAGTCGCCATAGCGGGGCGACTGTTCGCGAGCTGATCGGCTGCTTGGTGGATTAGCAGCAGCAATGAGATGAGTGTGGTGTATGAAAGGAAATGGTAACTGCTGTCGTTTATCTCTGCGAAACCTCGCCTACGTACTGGAGCCACAAACCCTCACGGATACTTGTGATTTGAGGGCGTGTCCAGTTCGTTCATTTCGGGGATTTTAGTGCCAACACACGTCTCGAGGTTCAAAAATATTCACTGTACCTAAAAACGAATGCATTGTGAGTTGAGTCCCACCTACCTGTAATTTCAGGAGCGCGGACACGTTCTCCGCCACACGAATCAACAGTGCTCTGATCGCGTTCGAAACGAAGTAACAGTTCCCCTCGTCAATCATAGCCAACGAATTTTTGGGCAGGCGGGGGGGGTGTTGGCGAGTGTAGTGAGCTACTGGCGAAATTCTACTAGCGACAGGGGGCACTACTGTAGTGGCCAGGACGCGGTGCTGTACCCTTGTTCGCGTCCCCACTGATTCCAGTAACGTGAGTCAGACGACTCGAGGTACGTGCAGGAGGCGTGCCGTTTTGTGAACGAAAGCTGATTGTGTCCGCAGGACACGTTCAATACATTGTTACAACAAAAAATGTGGTAACTGAGCGGGCTTACGAACAGTAAATGTACGAGCTGGACACCCCCTGAGTCACAACGTGGACATCAATTGCGTTTGCGTTTAATGTAAGGTCGTCGTTCTAGGTTGAGTCTAAGGGCGTATTCGTAGCTTCGTGTCATCCGGGATTCGTGTCATCCGAAATTGTGGGATCCAATCGAAAAAATCAAAGCTCGAAACGCGACTATTTCGATTGGCTCCCACACTTTCGGATGACACAAAACTACGAATACGTCATAAGGAATTTTCTCGCCATGCGACCTGCAACATCGCGTGCAGCAGTAGCCGTTGTTTGCCTTTGCCAACTTCGCGCGCAGTGTTACCAAACCATGCACTGCTGGCCCGGCCGAGTCGGCCTACGCTTCGGGACTAGCCCGAACCTCGCTCCCAGCGTAGCACTTACTAACTCACCCGCACCGCGTTACCGTTTACATCTTTCGCGTATAAATGTTCGTTCATGCCTTCGCTCACATTTTGTACTCGTTTGACACCCTAGTGCAATCCTCGCTACCTCGATCCATTGCACCCGTAACACTTGGTTATCAGAGCCACTTTCTTTCGAATCGCGCATCTCCGCACCCCAGAAAATCAACTTTTGATTTACCACTCGAAGGGACGCACGCACCTTAGCCCCTAGGAGTCGCTGCCCTCGCGTTCTCTCGTAAACGCGTGCAGCCACGACTGCGCCTAGACTAAGACGAGCCGACGCCCTTCGTAATGGCCGAACATATCGACGTCACGACGCTCACACAGGACAGCCTGAACGAACTGATGCGCCAGCTGCACGAGAACTCAGAAGAAATTGCAACGCTGACGGCGGAACGTACGTCCCTGCAAAACGACGTCGCATGAGCATAACAAGCACAGTCAGAAGCACCTGGCACTCCGTTACAGCCTGCACCACAAGCATCGCAGCACGGAAGTGTGGGGCAACCCGCGAGCGCGGCCAGAGATGGCGTCGTCCGCCACGACGAGGACGACGACCACGGCACAACACACCCCGAAGCGACGAATGCGGCCAGGAACCAGCCTCGCGTCACGATTTCGGCACCAACCAACGATTTGGCACTGCCGTCACCGATGCCGCTGAAGCCGCAGCGTCCACCATGTTTTGACCCTAGTCAATAGGGTGGTCCTACCGTTCAGGCATGGTTATTCACGATGAACGCGTTTTTCGACGCCAACTACGTCTCGGAGGATACGGCGAAGATCCGCTACGTCGTGTCGCTGCTGCGAGGACCCGCCATAGACTGGTGGCGTGTCATCATCACCAAGCCGAACGACTACGCGACTTAACCGACACGGGACAAACCGGACCCTGGGCGCCGTCGTATTTCGTGGAGGTGCCACACTATCGCACGTGGGACGCGTGGTGCGCAGATCTGCGCGCTCGATTTGAGCAAATTGCGGCTTCGATCGCGGCGCGTCAGAAGCTCCGTACTTGGCGCCAACTCGGTTCCGTCCAAGATTACACTAGCGTGTTTCTGGCGCTGTGTGAGCAAGTGGGATATATGCACGAAGGCGAGCGTATCTGTCAGAATCCCAACCATTAGACCGTTGGGATAAAAGGGCTTGTTAAGTAGCGTGTCAGTGCGCCCATAACCCCCAAAGCCAACATGCCTGTAACCCTGCCGCCCTAGGATCAATCGGGGATCACCAGTGGACCTCTGACACACCCCCGCACTGGGATGCCCAAAGTGCACACACTAGGATTCGAACTCGAGCCTTCGCTATGATACCATGTCAAAATCCCAACCACTAGACCACTGGGATAAAAGAGCTTGTTAAGTAGCAGGTCAGTGCGTCAATAAACCAACAGGCCAACATGCCTATAATCCTTCCCTAGGATCAATCGGGGATCACCAGTGGACCTCTGACAGTATCGACCGCTACATCGGCGGCCTGAAGCACGACATCGCCCAGGAAATCCAGCTCCGAGGCGTCACTGATTTTCAAGAGATTCTCGCCATGGCGGAGAAACTCGATTTCTTCCGCCGACCAAGACCGGGGTCCTACGGAAGCAGCAGCAACTGCGCACATCGATCTCGTGGGACGAACGAGGGCGCCACGATGCGTGCCGTCGCCGCGAATGCCGCTGCCGCACCGCTTAAAGGGCGCTGCTTCGCGTGCAATCGGTCTGGACACCGTAAGAGCGAATGCCCGGAAAACGCTAAGGGGGAAGCCGAGCAGCAGAAACAGACCAAGCAGCAGGGAAACACTAGGAGTCAGTAGCAGACGGGCCCTCTACTAACTGGTCACGCCGCTCGCCCGACCCAACCAACCCTCACCGAGTGATTGTGCCGGTTCACGCAATCGACCACATCAGGCCGAATAAGGAGGGTACCATGGTAGACAGCCCTATACTGCTTAGCGGGAAAATTGGGACAGACTTAGTTAAGATATTCATAGACGGAAGAGCCAGCCACAGCCTGGTCAATACCGCCACAGCACGGAAACTGAAACTGCCACTGGACAGATGCTTACCTGAGATCGACGCAAGACTTGTTGACGACACGTCACTGGCGATACAGGAACGCGTGGACCGGGTTCGGATTCGATGCAGGGGTAACTTCACGTTTAGTCAGGAAATGTTCGCGACAACCCTCGACAGAACCGGCAATTTACTATGTCGTGATTGGTTGCAATGGCACAATCCGCGAATCGCCTGGACGACGGGTGACTGCATCGTGTGAGTGAATGGTACAACATCGCCTTACCTCGCTGGGGCTCACCTGAGTATTCGTCGTTGCATGTCAACGCAATCACGATGAAACGCGCCGTAGCGGCAGGAGCTGACGTGTACGCGGTCAGTCAACGGGAGTTGTGTGTTGGCCCCGTCCTCGCTTGGGCGGAGCCGACTTCGTGGTCGGGTGTGAGGGGAGCAGCTGACTTGCAGCAGTGGGCGAGCTGGTTGACGAGGAGTTCGACCTGCACGGGAGCCACTGTACGGGCGCCGACTTCAGGGTGGCGCCAACTTCAGGGAGGTCGACTTGGGAAGTCGACCTACGGATGACGTCAACCTGGGGCAACCGACTTGGGTGGTCGGCTGACAGGACCTGCTGGTCGACCTGGTGGTTGGTCGACCAGACCTGCTGGTCGACTTGCTGGTGGTCGACCTGACCTGGTGGTCGACGAAGGAGGGGCCGACATCGACCTCGACTCAGGACGCTGAGCGGTAGGGCGTCGAGTAGCTGGGCGTCAACTTCGTGACGCCGACTTCGGGTAGCCGACTTGGGAAGTCGGCTGACAACTGCGCTGGTCGACGTGGAGCTGGCCGACCAGAAGTGACGTCGACCTGGAGCAGGTCGACCTAGGGGCGTGGTCGACCTGGTAAGGTCGACTTGGAGGTGGCCGTCGACCTGGGAAGTCGGCGGGCACGTACGGGAGCAGCTAGCCGGTCGACGTGGTTGCCGGGTCGACCAGGTTACCTGGGTGACGAGGTTCTGCGGAGGAGTGCGACAGTCGCCCAGGCGAAGTTGGCGAGCCCGACCTCGAGGGTGGTATCCCGAGGTCGACATGGCAGGTCAGGTGGAGTCGTCAGCACGAGGATGACTTGGTGTGTGCGTTGTGCAGGTGACGAGGCTCAGCCCGCCAATCATCTACAAGCACCTGCGAAGCGGGTGCGCTGCTGTTCTGCGTGAGCAACGCTGGCACGCCGTCAACGTGCGACGTTGGCACGCCGTCGACTTTGCACTGCTGGAGCGCGGTCGACCAAGTCGTGCTGGAACGCGGTCGACCAAGCTACGCTGGCAGTCGACCGACCTGAATGCTAGCTCTGATGTAGTCTTGCTATGCCAACTTCATTGTACTATTTTTTGTTGTCAACTTTCTCTAGTGAAACTCTTGCCAATTCTCCCCGTGAACTAGCAAGCTGTGTGTGCACTAGGAAAACGACTAAGGAACGGAGAACGCAGAGATCACACACAGAAAACGGCTAAGACATCGTTTCGAACACGCTACGGATCTTTCGAATACATTGTCATGACCAACGCCCCCGCCACTTTTCAAATGACGATGAACGAAGCCTTCTGCCCACTTTTAGATAAGTGCGTCATCGTCTACTTAGATGACATACTGATTTGCAGCCCCGACAGAGCACAGCACCTACAGGACATCGAAGCAGTTTTTAAAATACTGAGTGAGAACCGCCTACTGACAAAGGCCTCTAAGTGTGAGTTTCTACAGGACAGACTGGAATTTTTAGGCCACATTATTTCAGCTGACGGAATGGAAATAAACCCGAACAGATCGCGACGATCCAAGCTTGGCACACGCCGACAAATCTGACTGAGCTGCAAAGTGGGGTTCTTCAACAACGTGCGCCAGTTCGTCCCCGACATGGTGAAGTTGACTGCTACGT